ACAGATTTTTAATGGCGCGTCTCGTATCGTAATCGTCAAATTTAGTATAGAAAAAGCTTATTTGTTCTTACATCCGATAGGAGAGATCCGAAGAAGTGGGGCGCTTCTTAGTTTTTATAGAAACTTTCACGATGCGATACGTTACGGAGATACTGTCAAAAAACGTAAATGGGCCTCTGATAACAAGCGATAACACACGGCTACAATACTTGACTTTATGAACTTAATTGTACATTCCAACGCGCCTACAGACATAGAGTTTCTCACATAATAATTCATCTAATTCTAAACATATTATGTAATGAATTATTGTGCTTAACTAGGTCGTGGGAGATTTGTGCTAAATATAGTTATATCGCCAGGGGCGTGACCGTGGTGGTGGTATTCGCGGTGCTGGCGCTGGTGTCCGCACAGATCACCTTCAGTCGAGACTGGACCGGGGGCAAGAGAGCAGCACCGCAACTGGCCATCGACTGCGGACAGTTCACCAGGCTTTGTCGACATTTCGTGGTCAGTATCTACAAATGCTATTGAAGGTTGGAATGGTTTTGTAGTCATGGGCACATCTGTGACACAAGTATAGGCGCAGATCACCGTCAACAGAGACTGAACTGGGACAAGCGGGCAGCACCACAGCTAGCCATCGACTGCGGGTAGTTCACCAGGCTTTACCGATATTTCGTGGTGAGTACATTCTCTATAACCAATGGCCGTCGTTGGGACGAAAAGGTTCTCGAGTGGCGACCACGCACCAGACGACGCTCAGAGGGAAGAAGGCCCAGCACCAGACAATTTACTATAGATCGTAGGAAGCCGCATGGTATTTTAAGATAGCTCATACGTCCCGTCCCCACCCCACCCTCTGGTTACGTCCCTGTCATGAGACCGCTTGGGTTTTGACTAGTATAGATCACATTCAGCCGCGACTGGACAATAGTTGTGGTAGTGCCACAACTAACCGTTGATTGCGGACATTTCGTGGTCAGTACTCAGTACGAATGGTATTGCCATCAGATATACTTACAACTCTGATGCTGGTGTAGCGGTGACTGAACCGGCGACAAGCGGGCAGCGCTGCAGCTCACCATCGACCGTATATTCCTAGTCGACCCCTCGAGGATTGCCACCGGGGCAAATGGGAATTATTTTTAGCAGAAGAGATCTCTATTAGATAAACCCACCTTTACTATGTATTTGTCTTTATGTTTTGAACGATTCCATGAAATAAATAGTATAATAAAAAAAACTGAAGTGGGGGCAATGTCTTCATTCCCATTTTCCTCCGGTTGCGGTCCCCGGGCAGCCGCGGACATACCGCGCCGCCACTGCCCGCCGGGCACCTGCGGCGCGGTCTTTTTGCCCTCTGTGTGCGTTTGAAGTATTGGATTCACTTTGTGCTATTATTCGTAGGCAGGAGAGAGTGTGGCAAGACGAAGAAACTAAGACAATGGAATACCTTGTATGTGTATTTCGAGCATTGCCATTGGTCAATTTTTAAGACTCGAGGTAGTTCCGCTTTTATGGAAACAGTAACATTTGCATTTGACTGTTACCAGCACGAGCTGAAGCAAGCTATGACGTCAGAGGCAGGAGGCAAAAGGCGACGGGAGGACGACAAAGCACCGCCCGTTTACGACGACGACAAGTAGCGACCACAATCATTGACAATACAGCGGAGCGACGTGTTAATAAGATTCCTTTTCGATCAATTTTATCATAAGTTTCGTATAAACCCGAATTTGTTTGATTAAAACGGTAAACGATATTACATACTAGCAAACCAAACAAAGATTCTAAGAAGATAAAATAAATTTTGGTAAAAAAAACACGAAATTTATGTAAATTAACAAAAAAAAATTTGTTGATAGATGCTTTCTGAGGTATGTACTAAGTTTAGTGTATAGACTTCCATACTTTTTTTTATAAGCATTTTTGAATGGATGCAAATGGGGAGAAGGTCATATTCTTTATACTTACTTGTATTTTAATTTGTCTATTAACAAAGCGCCGTAATAAACTAATATACAAAAAGTAGCTGTATATTTTTCCAATTAGTATCATAATATGTAATATAATATATCATAATCATATTGTATCATAATATGGAACTAAAGCTAAAGGACACCATTTTTATGGGGAGTTCCCAATTGCCCCCGAATGAAACAGAGGAACCTGGAAAATGTTTCACTATAGTAATAGATAAATAAATAGATTCCTTAAAAATGTATAATTTAAATAAGTTTCAATCAATAAACACCTACATTCTACGATTAGTCATAAATTATTTATTTCTATTGTTAATCGGTCGAGTTATTCGTACATAATATTATATTGTAATGAAATTAAATATGGTAATTTTATGTGTAAAGACGTATTTGTTAACTTAAATAGGTAGATAAGTATCCATTAATAAGAATTGAATGCGCGACAAACTTATGAATTTCTGATGGACAAAGTATGTGAAACATGACATATTAAAAATTGATCTAAGCTATAAATAATATCTTTGGTGTAAGATAATAAGTAAACGCATTTAAAACTGTGTTTTCTTTTAATTTAACGATGTATTGTTACAGCTGCTCCACCACTTTCGATTTGCGTACAATTAAGCTAACTCCCCGCACCTCAATTATTTTTGCAGTTTGTGTAAAAGTAAAGACTAGACTTGAATGTCTTGATTTTGTCATACCACATCATCTTTATCTTAAAAAGCATTATTCTATAAACTTGTAGAAAAAAAAACATGAATGACCAATACATACTAGCGCAGAGTCGAAGCGCATCGAAGCGAATTTCAGCAATGTAGCAAAGCCAATTCACCCATCAACTTAAATATCTGAAATTCACCCTTATCTCCGCATCGTAATGTGTACATATATTCCTTCTGAGATAAAAAGACGCGAGAATTCGCACGCATTCAACTTGAATTCCGCTGATTTATCAGCTCAAAAGAAATGTGTCTGTATAATAAGAAGTCTGGAGTTCAAAAATAATTTGTGGGTGTTTATATTTTTTAGATACCATATTAATCGCCTTAGCGCCTTAGATTAAAACAAAAAGGGTAGATACGGTACGCTCATACTAGCATCAAATAAAATATGATCCGACTCAAGTACATAAGCAACTCTCGCCACGGACACGTTTGCATATAAATATCAATCGAGCGAGCGAGACAGAACTATACGCTTTAACGCAGCGTATTGTTGTCCTTTTCTTGCTTACAAAATGGCGATTACGTAAATAATATTCACAAGAAAATCGTGATTTTTGAGAAAAAATTGTTTTCACAGTTTTACGAATGAAAAGTGTTCCCGGGCATTTGATTTATAAACTATTAGTGTTCTTTACAAAAGCATCGAAGGCATTGTTATATCTTCATAACAAAGAATATACGCAATATTGTTATATTGAGTGTACATGCAGCATGTTTGAATGTCAAATTGTGACTAAAACGAATAATGGTCGTGGACCACAATTTAAGCGGATCACTTTTGAGCCGCGAATGCTGTATCTTCCCTTTTTGTTTTAGTCTAAACTTAGCGCGGTAGAATAGGGGTGATGACGGGGTACAGTAAACGAAATTCTATTTAGTCCGTCAGTTAGATGATCAAAAAATAATGGACACGTATTTTTTCTTTGGGCAATCAACCAAAAAATGACAAAGTTATAGCGCGTCAAAGTTTGGGAGTAGGGGCTCGTGACGTCACTTTCGAGTGAATTTTCACTTATAAGTGTACTCAAACGTGACGTCATGCGACTTTTCTGATCACTATATCTCTGCAATGTTTATATTATGTGAAAAAAGAAAAAAATACATGTCCAATACTTTTTGATAATCTACCTGATAAACGAAGAAAAAAAATTAGTCATCATCCCTATTGCTACGTAGTTACTCCGTGATCATGGCGCTTGCAAGTGTCGAAATATCGAGGACCCACAAAAAAAAAAGATTATTACATGGTAGCAATCCCCCTAGTAACAATAATGTGAGTGACCATGAAAGCTTAAAACAATAATTATTAGACTTGCAACGAATATTCGGTTACTATTCGGTATTCGGCCTATTCGGCTGCTTTTATTATATTTGACCGAATATCTACATATTATTCGGCCGAATACTTAAATAATATATTTTGTCATTGATAAATAATTGGTAAAATGAAAAATTAGAATCTATTGATTACGTATATATTCATATTTTCACTTCTGTTATATAATCATTTAAGTAGTCATTAGTACATAACACAGGTACATAATCTGAATTGGAAAAATCGAGGATTCTATGTATTTGAATTATTGTGGTAATCAAAATTTATAAGGGTAAGGTTCTCATTTCTTTTATAATCATTTATTAAGTAGTCATTGGTACATAATTTAATCATTTTCTGTTAAACAAGTTAACAGTTTTTAATTCATTCAGTCATGTGATGAATCGTTACATAATAGCAATAATTTAAAGTTTATGCGTCGTTTTTGGCCATATCTCAAAAGTTGGTTTGGTCATTTAGCCGCATTTTAGCTTGAGGACGGCAGATTAGAACAAAACAAAGGAGCTCGAAACCATTACGTCTGTACTAGTTTTTGGCGCTAAAATCCAGCCGAATACTTTTGCCTAATATTCGGCTAATCGGTCAGGGACCTCGCCGAATATTCGGTATTCGGTATACTGCCGAATATACTATTCGTTGCAACTCTAATAATTATGTTTCTAAATTGCAGAAATAAGGTTCAATTTGCTATGTAACTGTTTCTAAAATTCGCAGAGTCGAAGCGCATCGAAGCGAATTTTAGCTTCTAAGAATTGACCATAGAAACGAAATAAAGTTCAAAATAGACGGTCACCCCCCTTTAGGAATTATTTTCATAAAAGAGGGCATCCTTTTTTTTAAGTATAGGCAACAAAAACAACATGCTCTATAGGTAGATAAGGAACCTAACCTAGCGCACTTACTTTGTACGCAATATTAATTGAAGATTATTTAAATAAAAGACGACGTATATTAAAGTATTTTATTGAAATAAATTGATTTTATGTACACGCGTATTAAAAATAGATTATACAATTTTTGTATTGCTACATAAGTATCTTAATAAAAGCGAATTCTATTTGCATTTTACATTTATTTAAAAATATGGAATAATAAACATAGTTATGTGACATGAATGATTGTATATTTAAAAATTATACAAAGTACCAATTTCCAAAAAATATAATGATACAAAAACTGAATCCCCAGTATCTTGATTTTTATAACGATATTTTACTCTAGACATACATTACAATTATTTTGTACCAATAGGTCTTCATTCAAAGTCCGAAGAGATATTTCTAGCCGTACAACAAAAGATCTCAAACAACACTCCTACACTCAAATACCAATTTTTAATTTTAATAAGAACTCTTAATATACGAGACTTAATTAAAGCTAAGTAACTCAGTCAACTATAATCTATGTTATAACAAAACCTAACAGAAACACAGTAACATAATTTAGTCTAAAAATTGTAAGCAATTTCGAACCTAAAAGAAGAAATACTTGGGTATTCTTAAGAATACTAATGTAGTGTTGTTTTTAACACTAGAAACGCCGAAGTTGTGTTCCGTATGAACTGATATAGGTAAATCAAATAGAAACCACAATAAATTTAGTACCTAATTACTTTTGTATGGACAATATTGCATAATTTAATATTGCCAATCAGGTCGAAATGTGTCCTTTGTCATCAATGTTTATATTTCGTATATATATAAAAAATATACTAAAAAATATCATACATTTTATTTCTAGTTTAATAAAAACTGTATGCCTTTGACATAGTCAATGATTTGAAAGATTCTATCAACTTATTACGAAACTAATAAAGCACCTGGCTTTGTAAGTGTCAGTCAGTCAGTATTAAGTTATTAAAGAGTATTTTGTAACGTGATGTTCTCAAATACAGTTATGTTAGTCCGTCGTATTGTAAGAATGTCACAGATGGCGTTGTTGTTAATTGCATGAATGAAATTATGAAAATATTTTATATATTTTTGTTGGTCGTCAATGCTGTATAATAATATAGCGATATTGCAGATAATTTTTGCCATAAACAATTTGAATGTCTATAATTTATTAAATGAATATTATAACTTTTGGTTAATTATTATGGTAACGTGTTAGATGCTTGTTAATATTTTAACGAGAAACGTCATGAGAATCATGACGATTAGTCATTTGTAAGTGACGCAAGATCTTAGTCAACAATTATTATGTTAACTTAGTAAAAGAAATAAAGTTTGATATAGAAAAGACCTTTTGTTCATATATTAGACGGATTCGCTTAATGACGAATGTAGTTATTTCTAAGAATCTAACACTAACTGGATAAAAACATCAACGCCATCTGTTGTAAAATCACAAAATTAAATTCAACGCTCATCACTAGGGGTGCACCTGCAGTATTCCAGGGCCCTATTGAGGGATTCCAACCACTTGTCTCTCTGTTCAGGGGTGTCAGCTGCAAGTAAATGTCTCCTTACTATAATACCGTCTGATCGTTTGAAGCAAACGAGAGAAGAATCTGGGACTTCTAGACCGCAAGGAGCTTCACACTCTAATAGTAAAGTGTTGGGGCGAGCGCAGACATCACGCGGTGCTTTAATCACCTTGTCGGAGATCACTGTTGATAGGTCAATGTCCCCGATCGGAGGCTGTTAAAAATAAAGGGTTAAATTTACAATTCATATCAATATATATTCATAATGGATTATGGCGTCATTTTCCAACCCTAAAATTAAATTTTCCAAAAGTGTATCCTTGTCATTCTCTATACAGAATCAAAAAGATGGGCTAATATTAAACTAATTTTAATACTAATTTTAAGTTTAGAGAATCATGCCAGAATTGACACCACTAGTATAGTGCGATTCAAATTTTATGGCGGCTGTGAAATTAGCAGCGAGCGCAACTGCGCAGATTTCAGTTTAGCGTCATCCGTACACCACCCAACATTTCGTTAACTGCGCTGCGACTTGCGCTAACTTCAGACAACTAGCCCCTGGCACAGTAAGTAAACAGTTAACTTCTCCATAAGGCGATTTACTTTGATTATTTACTCTCTAGATAGAGTGTGGCAGCGCAGATACGTTGAAAAAAATTCTCCCACCTGGTGGGGTATAAGTCGTTTCCCGTCACTTAGTGTTCAATGCAATGCTGAGCGATACGCACGTCAATTACCGAGTTTCGTGTTGAAGTTATTACTTAAAAATGCCGAGTTGTGCGATTAAAGTTATAAAAAGGAAGGCAATTATAAAGGACGCATAAAAACAACCAACAAAGTCACTTACCATCATCGGTATGCAATTCATTATTCACCTTGAAAAAATAAAACTATTTATCATATTAGTTAAAAAATTTACGACTTCATCTTGCCATTTTCAAAGTGATGTAAGTGTCTCATTACAAAATTCCCCACAAAAGTAAGTATGGCGTATTAACCGATTGCAGCAGTGCGGTGGAGAAAAGTTTTTTTATATTGATAGCTATCGCTTTCGCTTACTTTTTCTTTAGTATTGGTAACAACAATATAAAAGTAAATGAGCTAAGGTATTTGAAAACCTGCAGCAGTCTCGTACCCATGGACATACTATATAACTAATACTGAGTATTTTTACCGATGAAACGGGATGAGTGAGAGATATAGAACAGAGGCCTTTAATCCTTTTCTAATAGGAGGACCATAGCTTTTTTTTAAATAAAATTAAAAGTAAAACACTACCTATTGTGTTGATATCGTCACTGTTTTGTGAAAGTTGTCGAGTTCAAAAACTCACCTCTTTCATCTATTCATATCACTTTATACATACTTACATGAGAAAAATGATTTTTTTTTCACCTATCTGATGATAAATAATCATTTCATTATTTTTCATCCCACCACCTCGGAAAGTGTAATTTTGCGCTTCGAAATCTGGCTGGAAAATTCTATTTTATTCGCTTGAGCGGCAAAGTAGATTTGAATTTAGAACATCACATATAATGAGTACTCAATATAATTGTAAATTCAAAACGTCATTAAACCTATTTAATGTAACCTCTATGGTGCCAAATTTATGATTAGAACTTTTTAAATTGTGAAAAAATTTAAATTTGGAACCTTCTTGGTTTCTTTGTTTTATTTGCGTGCTTCGCGCCATTCTAGTTTTTCACGTTTTATTGCTTAAATATTTTGTCATTATAAATTGTTTTCTTTTTCATTTTGTCATTTCCTCGCTGAGGTGGGATGAAAAGTTACGTATTGCACTCGAGTGGAAAGATTTTTCACCTTGTGCTCGTTTGTTTCCCTCGCTGACGCTCAGGATTCTAATTTAGAATCCTTCGCTTGCTCGGTCATCCAAATCGAGCACGCGGTTAAAAAGGAACTTTCCACTCTTGTATAATAAATAACTATTAAAGGACTATTGAAAGTTTCACAATCCACACCAAATATTAAACCGATGATTATGGGACAAGGTAAATTTTAAGTAATGTCATTTTTAATAGTACTCTGTTTTATTTATATTCTGCGACCACGTTCGTATCACAGCATAATAACTATAATTTTGATTTGATTAAGTTTACCCACTTTTTTGGGGAATGTGGTCTAACCTGGTATCTTATGCATGCGCACCGAGACAAAAATAATGTCATTTCGCGAGTGTAAGATACAAGATTCGCGTGTTTTGTTTTGCGTATCACGCACGCAAGTATATAAAACTTGTTCTGTGTTTATCGCAGTGTTTACTAGTTGACGCTCTATCTAGAGAATAAATAAGCCAAGGCGATTTAGTGCGGAAATCAAAAAGAACACTGCATGCGCGAAAGTTGCTGTTCTTGCAATTGAGTTGAATTAAAGTGCAATAGAGTATTTGACAAGTTTTAGAAAACGATCTCACGTTATTTACTAATATTTATAGAGTATAGAGTAATATGGATATTAGTCATTACGTTATTTATTTCAGTAAAAAAATATCAAATATTCCATTTTTAAGTTGCCGCGAAAACTTCTCTCTGGTTATTATGGCGTCTCACGAGTATGTGACGTCACACGACTGTTATTAAAGCGTCAAACAATACACAATGTACTGTCACTTTGACTGGATGATTACTAGCGTGTGACGTAATTTTAGCCTTCGCCAATCCCAAGCGTTTTCGGTCACGTGACCGTAGAACATAAAAATTAATTCTATTTAATATATTTTTAGAAAGGTTATTATTTATTTGTTCTCACGGAATATTAAAATCGCTGTTAATACTCATATTAAATACAGATGCTAACAATTGGTACTTTAATTTTCATACTGTGTAATAACCTATTCGACGCGATATTATAACCACACATTGTCCTTGATGTTGCCCTAGTTTTATCTTAGCGAGTGCTTTACAGCAACGTGAACGGCAATGGTTAAGTAAATGGGTTCAACATCATTACTATACCGCCTCATTGCCGGGGTACAGATACTATTATGGATGGAATAAGTAGATTAAGCTATTACCGACTACGTGGACTCAACTGGGGCCAATGGTTCACGACTGCATAACGAGCATGCATGCTAATGCGCTCCTCAAACCCGGATACAAATGCTTGTCCCGCCATGTAACTCGGTGACGTCAATAGGAAAGCAGTGACGGGCGTAGTTTCAACCAGCGTAGGTGCCATGGGCCAAATTTTCTGTCTTCCTCGAACGTGGTCAGTAAGGCGGAGTATGGAGGTGGAGATGAGACTAGGGCCTCTATTAATAGATGACTCTCAAATCTGTGACTACAATCTACTACATATCTACGAGATACTTTTTTCACACAGAACAGCATTTCAAGATTGTACTCAAGATCGCTGGTACTCAAGTTGGTCTTAGAGACGCGCCTTCATGTCGACAGTCACGCTGCCTTCCAGAGGAATGTCAGATGGTAGCTATATTTTTTATTTCATATTATGAATATGATGACATAACCTTTTTATTGTTGCCGTCCGGGTACCGCCAATAGGAGAAGCGGCGGGAGCAGTTTGATCGGGCACAGCTTGATAGAAAACACTAAGAAAACATACAGGATCTTTCTGAAAATAAATGACGATTTACCGTAGTTTGCATAATAATATTGTGTACCTTTTTATTGTCGTCGTCCGGGTACCGCCAATAGGAGAGCAGTGGCGGGCGTAATTTGAACCAGCGTCGGTGCCACGCGCCCAATCCGCTGACGTCCTCGAATGCCGTCAGGAAAGCGGAATATGGAGGCGGTGGCGAGACTAAAAGCCTCGCCTTCATGTCGACGGTCAGGCTGCCTTCTAGAGGACTGCCCGCTGGTAACTGTACGAGAAAATTCGTGGTAATTCATGGTATTGCGGCATGGAAATGCCAGTGAATTGCGACAATAGAATACAACAAGATATATAGGCGTGGGTGTTTGAACGAGAGACATAGAAACTGGATAAAATAAGAAAAAAGAGCAAGAGACAAAGAAATTATTAATTGTAACTGCTCGATGTTTAAATCTAAAGAAAATATTACTAGAAAACAGCAGACGGGACTCGTACCCGCACCCCTCGCTATCCAGGCAAATGCACTGACCAATTATTCTACCGCGGCGCTGATGGCCGTGTCGAATTCTTTCTAGCCTTTCTTAAGCTGCAAGGCAGCGCCATCTATTCGCATTATAGTTAACCCACACTCGATTATTAATAAACGAAGAATAAACTTAGACTACTTATGTCATTTTTTGTTCAATTCACTCAAATGTCATTTGTTATTCAATGAACAGGAGGCCTACTCTATTTCAACGAAAAACTTAATTCGATCTAAATTTCGCACGTTTCCTACTTTATTTTTATTTCCTTTTCATTTCGAAAATTCGTTCGTCCGAAAATAGTTTGACAATTAAATTCTCCAAGGCTACTCTAATTCACAAAACTTTCAAACAAAAAGTTGAATTTGACATATAATTGTTCGAAATTTTAACCTCAAGCTGACGAAATGAAAAGTGTTACCTTTTCATTTTCGTTTTGGGACTTTTGTTTAAATTAAGCCTAAAATGACTGATAGAGTATTTTTAATCAAGGCTGCTTAGCGAGAGGAACATATTTTAGCATGCCAAATTAACAAATACACAAAATTTTAATTAATTATTATATTTCCAATACTCCAAAGTATTAAACGACAAATTTAGGTTGACGTACAATGAAGTGCATCAACTCTACAAATTAGTCGGCTAACACTGTCAAAAAAGGTTCTTTTAATGTCATCAAAAAATTTGTAGTAGAGTAATATTGTTTCCAAGTAAAACAGGTAATCTAAAAAGTAGAGATAAAAGAACTCAGAAACTTGACTCATTCCATTCGTTCACCAAAATTGTATGTGATTCCGAAGTTTATGTGCGTGTTCGAAAATGAAATAGAGCAGGAGCTCTACTCTCTTTCTCCGAAACGAAATTTCGGTAACGAACGAATTTCAAACGAAATTTCGCCAGTGTCTCTACTCTATTTCATTTTCGAACAGGCACATTAACTTCGGAACCATAAACAGTTTTCGTGAACGAATGGAATGAGTCATGTTTGCGAGTTCTTTTTATCTCTACTTTTAAGAAAACGTTTTTTTACTTGGAAACAATATAGGTAGTTTACGGCAAATTTTTTGATGACATTAAAAGAACCTTCTTTGACAGTGTTAGCCGACTAATTTGTAGAGTCGATACAATCTACTGTATGTCAACCTCAATTTGTCGTTTAATACTTTGAAGTATAGAAATTACAAAAAATAATAAAAAAATGGTTTTTTTGTTAATTTAACATGCTAAAAATGTTACTCGAGCTACGCAGCTATTATTAAAAATACTCATGCAAGTATTGTAGGCTTAATTAAAACAAAAATCTCAAAACGAAAATGAAAAGGTAACACTTTTCATTTCGTCGATTTGAGGTTAAAATGTCGAACTGATCTGTCAAATTCAAATTTTCCTTCGAAAGTTTTGTGAATTAGAGTAGGCTTGGAGAATTTAATTGTCAAAATATTTCGGACGAACGAATTTTCGAAATGAAAAGGAATCAGAGTAGGGAACGTGCGAAATTTCGATCGAAATTTCGTTTTTCGTTGAAATAGAGTAGGCCTCCAGTTATTGGCGAAATTTCGTTTAAAATTCGTTCGTTACCGAAATTTCATTTCGGAGAAAGAGGGTAGAGCTCCAGAGACGAAACATGGAGTAACTAATAAAAGTTCATTCTTCGTTTATAAATAAGGGGGTTTAAGATTAACGCACAACAACCGCATCTTTTGATAAGCGACCCGAAGAAAACGAAGAAAATTACTCTTAAACAAAAAAAAATCATTGGAGCGTTACTTTTTCAAAAATATTTGTCCAATAAGTAAGAACAATACCTATAATAAAAGAATGAGATCACAATTACCTTGCTCAACGTAAAGGTGCGCCTACTAGCTTGCGGTAACGCGAATATGCAGTAGCCGTGCGGTTGGAACTGCGGCGATCTAGCCGCCAGCGGGCCGCCCGGGCTCTGTGTGCGCGGCGCTTTAAGCTCCGACACTTTAGACTTGGGCGTGAGCAGCTTAGAACTGGACTGTAGACAAAAGAATAACCTAAATAAAAAATCTATCTGAAATCAAATTCGACAACAGCCTATCCTTGTCATCTATATATATAAAAATCAATTGCTGTTCGTTAGTCTCGCTAAAACTAGAAAACGGCTGAATGGATTTATCTTATCTTGGTTTTGAAATTTTTGTAGCTCTAGGGAAGGTTTAAAAGGTGAGACAAATTCGAATAATTGCCAGGAAATCCCTAAAAACAGCCCTTTCGTTCTCTAAATAAAATGTAGAGTCAATTTGAACTTTATTGCCTTTGAACAAAAACTATAGTCTACACTACAGCTCTACACCGAAGCGAAGCGAGGGCGGGCCACTAGTAGTTTATAAAAAATGAAAAAGGGAAACTGTTGGCCACAAAGTTAGAGAATCCTGTCAGAATCGGGATCAATGTAAACTTTATTCTGTGTGTATTTTGCGAAATAAGGTAGATTAAAAAAAAATATGAAATCTGCGGTATTCGATGCTGCGCCCGGACTCTGTGTGTGTGTGTTTTTTTTTGAGTGTGTATGATGTTGGTCGCAGATGACCTTTATAGTGTCACCGGGTTTGGGGCGAGATCCTAAGGGGACCTCAAGCCGAGAATTGGCGAGTGCTTCTAGAGGAATTCCAGGCGGATGGCATCTCCACGCGGGGGGAGTCTCCTCTCCGTCTGGAGCCTCTAGACCACTCGAACCTGAGGGGGTCGGCTCAACTAGAGGACGTCACTGAGACTCGAACCTCGGCTCTAGTTTGCCGTTTTCGTGGGGGCTGTGCGCGCCGCTTTAAGCTCCGACACTTTATACTAGGGCGTGAGCAGCTTAGAACTGGACAAAATAATGATATAATTAACATAAACCATAATCTAAATCCAGTTTCTGACTGATTTGCAGAATCATTTCAACTAACATGCTTGTCAAATTATTAGCAGTGTAAATCAATTCGTGTTTCGCAAACTAAGATTAGCAAAAGTTTTAAACACCTTTACTTTAATAGTGAGAAACATCCATTCACTTAAATAGTGTGATTAAATCTATTGCTGAGAACTGAATTGAAGTCCATTGAGTACTTTAGAAGATCTAAGTGTACAAGACAACGAGAGTGATTTTTGTTTTATACCATGTAAATATATATATCTAATTCTAAGTGTATTTAGTGCGAAACTTGTCAATTTTCAAAAATTAACGGCGTGCCTTCTGGACTTTGTATGTTTTAAGCTTTAAGCTCCGACACCTTCGAAGAATGTTCTGTAAAATTTGGTAGTATTACGAAAACTAAGATGACTATCACATTGAGAAGACCACTTCGTTGTACGTTTTATGTGTTTTGCATTGGGTCGTCACATTGCTGAACATAAATAAGGCGTTTACTCGTATGTATACTATGATATAATTTAACCAACTTATTTTGCATGCTTTAAGATTCATAACCGATCTAGAACATTCGATTTTTTGTGCTAACTTGATATGTAGATGTAGGCTGATGTAGTACAAATAAACGACTATTGTAAGAATCCTATGAATTTTAAGTATACGAATCACGAATGCGGTATTCACTAACTTGATACAAACTTACCTTTTTGTTTGTGATGTGGTATTTGACTTCATGGGGCAGAAATTCTTTCGAGGCTGGCAGCATGTACACTTCAATTGTGACCTGTTTTAAACAAATATATAAAAATAATTTGTTATAGTTATGTAGAATTTCGTAATTTATGAATGAGAACTGTGTCAACAAACCAGTGAGAACCAGTTACGTTAAACTTTAGTTAGAGACCCTTATTATTGAATGAAGATTTAAGTGTGGAATTGTTACGCACACGGAGAAACACTTGCTCTGTGGTTGTGCAGTGATTGTTCACCTCACCCAAATAAAATTTTGTGATTCGATGACCAGAGACCAGAGGAGGTCATCTATGTATGTAAGACTCACATGATTGTCTCCAGCGAGCCCGTCCATTCGTATTTCGTCCGGGAAATGCAGCGAGGCAGACATCTATGTATGTAAGACTCACATGAAAGTCTCCAGCGAGCCCGTCCATTCGTATTTCGTCGGGGAAATGCAGCGAGGCAGCGGTGGGCTGGGTGAGTTGCATACTGGTGGCTAACACGCGGTCACGGCACTTAAGGAGGCAGACTACGTGGTGACCAGTGGCGCCATCTGTGAACGACGTACAAATTTCTTTTATTAATAAATCATCAATTTATTTATTTTTAAATTCAACATGCTTCTCCGTTATCAACAAACAGAATCAGGCTAAGAAAAGCCTTAGGTCGACCAATCAACATTAAACTATACTGCTCTTTATTCAATTTATTCGACGCTATTGCTATGAACAAACTGAATCAGCCTAAGAGGAGCCTTAGATTGACTAATAACATCAAGCTCTATAATCAAGTAAGTCAATAAGCTCCTTAGATTATAATAATTATACCAGCGTTGAGTTGCCGCGCATATAGTCTTCCATTTTAAGCCTTTGGATCTCATGGAAAAAATGGCAGTAAAACGGACAATATTATGGAGGCTTATGACGAGGACTCATAGAATTATACCCACGTTGAGTTTCCGCATATCTCTCCCCAGCGGCTCAGAAATAGTATTTATGTACGGACATCCATACTTAATATTATAAATGCGAGTGACTCTTTCTGTCTGTAACCGCTTCACACTTAAACCACTGTAGCGACATAGGATAGTTTTTATCCTATAAATCACCGTTAAGGGGGTGAAAAGGTGGGTGGAAGTTAGTATGAAAAACCAATTTTTTTCACGGAGTCCAAAGCCGATCGGACAGCGCATAACAGAGAAAGTAGTGTTGGCAATTACTGCAAGACACTAAGGGACATCACCACTTTCTCGGTACCGCGCTTTATCATACTAATGACTAATATATGTAGACCCACTGGTGTACTGAGGACTCAGTTTTGAAGAGATCATCTATCGATGGACGTAAACAATCGGTAATAATATGGTAGGAAGACATAACGAGGACTTATATAATTATACCGTCGTTGAATTGCCGCATATAATCTCTCCTCAGCGGTACAGTTATAGTATCTATGTGCAGAAGTACGAAGACATAATATATGCCTATTAATATCCGGACTTAAATAATCATACTTTAAATGAAGACTTAATGGTATGAGCGTTGAGTTGTCGCATATAGTCATATCAGTAAAATGGACATATAAAGGCATTATAATAACGTCTTATAGTTCCACTTGAAGCCTTTGAATATCGTGTAAAAATGACAGTAAAACGACCATCTCCTCAGTGGCACAGTTATAATGTGCGGACATAAGAAGGCATATAATGGTGTCGATTCTGGCATGATTTTCTTAACTTAAAACTAATTTTAGCAATGCAAAGATACACTGTTGTCAAATTTAAATTTAGGTTTAGAGAATCATTTCAGAATCAACACCAATGGGGATTTATAATGAGGACTTATATAATGGTACCAGCGTTGAGTTGTCGCATATAATCTCTCCTCAGCGGTAAAGTGATGCTGTCGATGTGGAGTGTGGCCATGCCAGCTTTCCCTGCTGGTCCAGCGCCTTCCACTTGAAGCCTTTGGATCTCGTGGAGGCACGCTTGACGGCGATGGGCTGTGTAGAAATAAATAAATATGAATGTTTCTAACACGCAAAAACAGGCTATCTACACAGTTAGCACTGTAAGGCTTGTTGTTGTAGAGGATACTAGGTTAACGGATAGAAAAACAATTACTGTACATTTTTAAAGAAATATATGGGTATTTAAATAAATTGCATTCGTAAATTGACCATAGATATACAAAAATCGACTTAGCGACACTCCCACGAAATTGACAACTCTTAAGAAAAATAGAAAAAGACAGCCAATGGCCCACCATATCGCATCGATTCTAATCACGCTTACTTTTGTTATACTTTATCTATGGATATAGGTAGTGACGTCATTTTGACGAGTGGATAGGTTCACCATTTTGACAAGTGGATAGGGCCACCATTTTGACGAGTGGGTAGGCCCGCCATTTTGACAAGTGAGTAGGGCCGCCATTTTGACAAGTGAGTAGGGCCGCCATTTTAACAAATGGGTAGGGCCGCCATATTTTAGACTCTGTTAATTTTTTTTACGTCTTTAACCGAGTTATCTACTTAATTATAAGAGACACTTACTCGCTAATAACAGTAGCCTTTCCCCCTCCGCCTGTTCCGTGGATCCGCTGAATTCTATGGTAGCGGCGCAGAGGTTCAGGGCTTGACTTGCCTGTTAAAACCAATCATAAAGTGTGCTAAGACAAACTGCCAAATTCATAGTTATCCATTATATGATTATTAAATAAAACACGCTTAAACGGTTTAAAAAGGCGTTTATCTGTTACTCTTTTTGACGTTCGCGTCCTTTTTCAGGCTTCGTCGTACGCAAAGGATGCGAAACGGCAAAAAAGTAATAAAGAGACGCTTTATGAAGCGTGTTTCATTTACTGACTGGTGTGTGTATGTTATTATTATAGCAGCCTTTGTCACTAACCTTAAAAACTATAGCTTGTATTGATAAACATAATACTATGATCCCCAGATTGTCAATTACTCCAACAGTATTAATGAAAAAAAAAACTAAAATAGATGTTTATCTCTAAGTAAAGACTGCTGCGTTTAAATCTAAAGAAAAGTTTACAAGAAAAAAATCCACGCGGACCAGGCAGCGGACGGGACCGGACGGTCCGGTGCCTGGTCCGCGTGGATTTTTTTTCTAGTAAACTTTTCTTTAGATTTAAACATCTAGCAGTTGAATGCTTAAAAAATAAATAAAATCATAACTGCTGCGTTTATTGAACATTATTGAGAGATTGAGGCGTTTGAAGTTGTGCATATTATCGTTTTTTCCGTAAACTAGCTGTAGTAGAACGATCAGTCCAAAAAAAAGGAAAATAGTATTTGCAAATATTCTACATTAACATACAAAAGGAAGAATAAATCTACTGTTAACTTCTATTGAAAATAGTCAAAATCTTTTCTAATGAGGTGGGTAAACGAGGCGCTCATAAATTACCATTTTTGCAAAAAATGTGAAAGGGCTCTTAAGTACTCTGCTTTTATGCCTTTAAGCAATAGGGTATTTGACAAGTTTTAGAAAATGATCTCACGTTATTTACTAATGTATATGGAGTCCAAAAAAAATGTATATTTTTAATTATAATGTGCAATTCAGTAAAAAAAACTAAATTAAAAATTAAATTTTCAAGTTGTCAAGAAAACGTTTTTCTGGACATTATGGAATCACAAGTGTGTGATGTCACACGACTGACATTAAAATGTCAAATAATACAATTTAATATCACTTTGGCCAGAAGTATACTACCTAGCGTCTGACGTCATTTTGGTCTTGGCCAATCTCATGCGTTTTCGGTCACATGACCATGGAGCAACAAGAAACATTTCTATTTAATGATTTTATAGAAAAGATATTATTTCTTATCCTTTCAGAATAGTAAAATAGCTGCTAATATTAATTTTAAATACAGATACCAACTATTGGTACATTATTATTCATACGGGCAAATATGCCTATTGTTGCTTGTCAGGGTTTATTCTGTCAATCTCTCTTCTTCTCTCTTCAAATTATAGCACAGTGTTACGAGGACAAATAGGAATAACAATTTCATTAAATTTTCATACCTGCGATATAACTGTTTGCTGTTTAGCCACTTCTTGTTGCAACTCTCTTATGCGTTGACGCACAGTGGTGACGGCAGTGGATGGTTCGTCAGGGGTAGCGGGTTCTCGTTCCGGCGACGTATGGCGAACTATACGCACTGGCGTCGATGGTGTGGACGACTGGGGAATGTTTATTGGTTAATTTGACATTCAATATGATGCTAATCGTATTAAGAAGTAGTTATAAAACAAAGGAATATTTTTGGAGGTAAAAGACATGACAGTTTCAGGTAGAGATCGGATAATCGTTCGAACAAAACTTTGTAAGGTATTGGCACCAATTATGGACAAGAACCAATGATTGTTCCTTGTCAAGGTTGCATTTCGAACTGTCATAACTCTTTGACGTACGCCTTTTAATTAAGACCTTATGCAGTCTGCCATAAAGGTGTTAATGTTTAATTAATGCCTTATATTATTTTTGACTACGCAATTATCTGACGCAGTTCTGCGGATCGTCCAATGTACCTTTGGGACAGGTTTCAGGCATGATTTTGTTCGTGTTGGTGTATCTAGGGTATTTAATATCGTTGGTGGCTGACTATACTTACGGCATTCTGCATGCGCCGGTAGAAACTGACGCTGTGAACGAGCTCGTTGCCGCGGTCGACGCGCGGAGTTCCGACCGTCGCCGGCGCCGACGGTTTCTGAGGTGATTTAAACTTAGCCCGCTCCTGGTATACGAAACTGGTGGACGACGATATGCTGCCTTGCTGTATGTTAATAATACATCATTTTAGATTGCCAAAAATACTTTTAAAATAGTTTTTTTTAGTCCAGAAGCTTTATTTTTTATTCACTCGCCTAGCGTCGTACCCATTTTCATTAGACACAATAAATTCAGTATTTTTTAATCGTCCGAGGCGAATGGTAGAGTAATTGGATAGGATACTTTTATTTTACTTCATAGATCGGGGAGGGCGCTGGAATTGGTGGGCACGGTACTTTTTATGGTATAGGGAGATTGGGCCATGACTCGCCGCATGGTCTTGTGCAGATTGGTGGGTGGTATATAAATACTTTTAACTTCCTTCCAACCGAGGCTTCCACAGTACACTCACGCAATATTTATTTTTCTTACGTGATGTACATCAAAATTTATAATTCGTATTTAACTGGTAACACTGAAGACGAACGATTCAATAACACGGAAAATCTGAACTGGAAATCAAATATGACTTAAGACGCTTTCGACGATACTATGTCAGGCGAGCGAATCAAAAATAGTTGTGATCTCGTCTATAGGTAAACCGCTTAACTGAGACAGCGAGGCGAGGGCCTGCGGGGTACAGGGTATGGGGGAGGACGAGAAAGGGGGCCGTGAGAGGTGTGGGCGGCGGGTACTTGTAATTTTGAGAAAAGTGTGACTGTCGTCTGCAGTGTCCCCGTTTTCGTCCTCCCCCACACCATTCACATCATCATCATCGTCAGAATCAGTTAAGCGATCTACCTATGGCAGAAGTTTTTTAATTTTTTAAACATGTAAAGATCGGTACGGAATTGCAACGATTTAATTGCAAATTAATCTCTCTTCTTTCAGATTAGTAAATGTTAATCGAGAACAATCGTGAACTTAAGATACAAAATGCCAAAAGATATTATAAATAGTTATCCCTTATTAACAGTAAAATGTGACGTTATTAGAGTGGAGTGACATTTAAAGTATAAGGGCCTGCGCACGGCCTATATCATACTACATATCTATATGGCAGTTAAACCATGAGTAGGTTTTTTTTTTCTAACCTAAGTATATTTAAGTTTAAGTATTTGTAACCTTGTTTACTTTAGGCGGGGTTGGCCCATCTTCGTTCAACGCTTCGTCGAGCATATCGTCCAGCTCGCTGTCGCAGTTAACTTCAGAGCTGTCCGACAGACTCTCACGCACCGCCTTCTGGTAACTGGTATTGTTTTTCTTTACCACCTGGAATTAGGAAAAATCAATATAAAACTTATAAAATATCGTAATATAATAGGGTCTTATCAACTCGGAAACTCATTACCGTATGTATCAAATATGAAACTCCCTACGGACCGCACACTAATCGCAATCGTAACGTAATCACCTCGCCTAAGGACACGAGCTTTTCCAATTCGAGACGATTACATTTCGTTTGTGCGTTGCAGTAGAGAGTTCATACAAGAATATTGAACGGGTCAGTGAGCGTTGAGAGTTGACACGGTGACAATCTCTTTAATCTTAATTGAGACACATTTATATCGTTAATTTGAAGAAAATTCAAGCAGTGTTATAACTCTGGATATACTTAATGTTCCATAAGTTTTCAAAGTCTTATCCTTCGATAGTATTTCAAATTCAAAGGACATGGCTCGAAAATTTAAGAATAAAAAAACTTGTAACAACTAATAGACTATTAAAAAAAACTTACGTTCATGACTTCTCTACCAAACGATGTTTCAGCCCAGTTGTCAGATTTATTTAGATTGTCTTTTGAATTACACTGCCCTCTCTCGTCGGTGCTGGAAAATAACAACAATAAATATGCAAGAGATAATTTATAATCCGGTAATACTGAAATATAACTACCCATAATATAGGCGAGTATTACAATGTATCAATCTCCAATGCAGCTGTGAGAAAATAAAGGAAGATGTAAATTTTGCATTGTCGTACTATGTCGCATTCGCAAAAGGACGGATTCTCATTTCGCCAGAATACAAGTAACAAGAAAAACGCACACGAGAAAACCACCTAGATTTATTCTGCTATATATTTTAAGAGAAAGACGAATCACTCTTAAACTTGGAATAACTAATTAAGTAATATTATCTAACATATACAATAAAATTCTGATTGTCTTCGTTCAATTTGTTCGTGTTATAGGAGGACACTTGGACGTAATGTTTTATTGCAGAAAGCAATTGTAATCGTTTTAATCTTGATCTTGAAAAAATGAAAAGTTGGCTTCTAAAATAAATGCAAAGTTAGCTTTTTCGAAATTCTTGTAAAAAATGAATCCATGCCATTTGTAGTAATCTATTTTTCTTGATAATAAGTTTTTTTATTAACTCTTTGTCTGGAAAAATAAATGAATAACACTAAATCATATGTATTTCTCCATATCACTGTACTAGATCCGGCATAATGAGAATCCGCCCTTTTACGGATTCGACGAAGTGCGAACAAATGTATTTTTGGTCGTGTTTATGATATCTCAATATGCTCTTTTAAAATAATTCTTTAGAAATTGTCCTTTACTTCTGAAGGGCGTGTCAACAAATGAGTTGGTTGGGGAAGTATTTACCTCACCTTGATGGGTAAATTAGAACCTAACTTATATAACTTAGCCTTGCCACCAGTAGTTAGTTAAGTAGAAGTAAGGTTGTAGAAGATATATATTTTTTTTATACTTGTAGGTTCTTCAAATTCAGGTATATTTTGTACATAATAATATCTAGTGATTAAATATAGGTACTATTTTATTTTGCAACTCTTAATATTTTGTCAATAATTATAAGGATTACAAAAGCAAAAATGCAACGTACTTCGTCCTGTGCAGGCCGCTGTTCGCAATTTTTCATAATTGATTGGGTACACTTAACACAGTTTTCTATGAAACTAAGCAGCGCCTCTACCGGACGTAAGAACCAACTATCTTTTTCCATACAAATGAAATTTTTAAATGTGACTAACAACGTTGAACGAAATCCCTTTTAACTAGATCAGGCAAAAGTGGTTTTGACCAAGGGAGTTAGTTCAATCTACATTTGACTGTTGTTTGTGAACAAAATGGGTTTCGAACTGTTATAAGTTTTGACTAGACAAAGACAACAATCGCGCCCTACCACAAAAGATAACATTGGATCGGAGAAATTTGTCAATTTTATGCCTGAAGTTTGTGTAGGTACTTATTTGTAGTGCTATTCGACGCAACATATACAAAAACGTAGTGTTGATTACCAATTCATTGGATACAGGCACAATGATTATTACTAAGTAAACCCTTAAAAACTCGTTACGCTCAGCAGTTTTTTCCATAATTTGATGAACTATGGTGTTAATTGATAACCAAATGTGCTTTTTAGTGATTTCGATTTTGATCTCAGTCTTATTGAAGTACCGAGTTTTATCACCCGTTTTCTTTTTTCTAGTAAAAAAAACCAAGCAGAATAATGTTTAAAATAAACGCAGTCGTATACTATGTGTATACTATTTATTTATAATATAGGAAAATATGGTGTGATTATACCGCAGAAGGACTACGAAGAACTAGGTATTTTAAATTTAATAATTGAACTCCGCAATAGGACCATGAGGAATAGGACATACTCATGGGTCCACTAGTAGGACCACGAGGAAACAGGTGATTTATGTCGGCTATACATCAGACGATTACATGTCGGACGAACGTGATTCTACAGGACCATAAAAACACGTGTTAAACTGTATTTGTAGGAGCCAGACTATGCAGTAAGATCGAGTTTTTATACTTACTAATGAAACTGGTAAGCAATTAATTGGAGTGCAGACTAAAAAGAGCAGAGATTTAGTTTTTATATGTATTAACATAGTCGCTTCCGCTACGCTTAACTTCTTTCAGCATTATGTTTGGGTTCATACTAGATTAAATTAGGTTATTGTTGGGACCATGACGAGCGAGCGTAGCGACAACGACCTGCGAAGCCTTGAGCTTTGTCACGATCATTTTCAAATTATCGTAATATTTATTATTCGATTTTACGCTAGGATTTTAGGGAAAAATCGATTTATCAAATCATCTTACGATATATATTTATATATAACTTTCCTCTGTTTATTCTACAGAAATATATATACATAGAAATAATTATTTATGACGCTATAGGTTAAAACAGGTCATTGACGCAACCTGAGGCTTACGCACGATTTTTTAACAGCTCCGTAACGTATCGTCAAATTTTGTATGAAAAAAGCTAGTTTGTTCTTAACTAGCTAACTAAAAGTTAGAAGAAACTTTCGACGATGCGATACGTTACAGAGTAGTCAAAATTCGTGCTTGGGCCTTTTGAGCATCGTCCGCCAATCGTAAGCAAGTTATTTATGCATACCCATAACTGCACATACATAGAGTTATGACATTTATTGTTATCTGATGGACAGAAAAAACTACGTTATGAGACTTAGCTTAATCTTTGCACGCACTTAACTCCGTGTATTCATAATAGGGTATTTGATAGTGTTAAAAATAAAGTGCTAATTGTTAGTATCTGTATTTAGAATGAATATTGGCAGGGGTTTTTACTATTTTTACAGAAAAATACTCATAATTTTACTAAAAACCCACCCACTTACAGTAATAGTTTTCATATCTATTGTCACGTGATTGAAAACGCCTGGGATTGGCGGAGCCTAAAATGACGTCACACACTAGTAAACTTCCGGTCAAAGTGACATTACATTGTATCCTTTGACGTTTTAATGACAGTAGTATGACGTCACATACCAGTGAGACGCCATATTGTACAGAGAAACGTTTTTGCGGCAACTTGAAAATTGAGTTTTTGATTTAGTTATTTCTACTGAAATACACAACAGAATTATTTATAACCACTTTTTATGGACTTCTTAATCATTAGTAAGTAACGTGAGATCGTTTTCTAAAACTTGTCAAATACCCTATTGTCAGGACTAAGTTTGTAATATATTTATAAAATAAAAAACTAACATATCTTCTTTTCATCTCATAATATGAAAAGTAAGTGACTAAAAGACGAGAAAGAAAAAAAAATGTGAGAGATTTTCAATATACCTATTTATTAAACATTGACAGATTGAAGTTATCAAATTTTACATAACTTACAACTCTACCCGATAGGTGGCGCTGCATTCGGGTTAAGGGGTGAATTTATATATGTTTATATCGGGCAGGACAACGTAATATCCTATTGGACAGATCCTCTGCTGTTTGCAAGGATTGTTACCTCAATTATGTAATAAACTACTAAGATATTTATTCCGTAGTATATAACTGATGTCGCAACTTGTAGGCATAAGATTAAAAATATCTATTGGCCATATTTTTGCATATTGAGATACCAATAAATTCAAAAGGATCAAAGGACAAAAAATTACACAGCTTAGCATTGGAGAATGAAATTCAAGATCACTTTCAACACATTTATTTTACACAAAACATTCCCTCCTATAGCAAATATATTATCACAGACGTCGTAACTTAAAATAACAATAAAATTATTAAGACACAATTATATGTTGGCAACCTGAAAAAAAATTGACACGATTTTTTTATAATATAAATAATTAAGTAGGTAAATAACACTAGTATAACGAATAAGCTTAATACAAAAGATAAAATAATATTTGTCTATTTTTAACTCCTGTTAATTCATATACACTTAATTTAACATACAAACCGAATCGACTTTAAAGTTGGTGTGTCTTTCAAAACACATACAAATTTCAAAATGTCAAATTTATCTTTCAAATAGAAAGATGTCAATCGGAGGAGTTAAAATTAGATAACAAACCTCTATTATGACAAGTAAGTAGTTAATCAAATCATAACCAGGGTCCATAAGCTCGACCGATAAATTTTTCAAAGAATTACTACAATGTTATAAAAGTTATCCAACCTGAATGTAAAGAAATAACATTGTATATATTAAAATTTTGAATAAATGTTGCTACAATTGATTTAATTTAGTTAGGTTCAAATGCACTATTCATTGTTTAATTAACGTGCAGTCTTAACTAACCAGAGTTTTAATCTTATATGTTCATAATTTTCATTTATATTACAAACTAGTTTATATAGTGGCAGTTTTTTATTAGAGATATTATTGATTTGAATTTTATTAATGCAAGAAGAATTTTTAAACCTTGGGGATATTTTTAAGCAGTATTTTAGTCGCTGTCAACGCAGGACTGATGTGCACTTTCCTGTATCAACGCTATCAAACGTCGATACGCTAAAAGCAGAAACAGACTTACGAAACGCGGTGCCACGCCACGCGTGTTGAGTCAAATCAAAATGTACTTTTTTCTATAATCAGAATTACATTTGGGACATCCGACGCGAGGCGATGCACCATAGAAAATACGTGTGGCGTAGCGTAGGGTGGCGTCGCGTTTTATAAGTATGTTCTTGCCTTTAATACTTTAATTTTCTAGGATAGCGGTACCGTCATAAAGCTGCCGTAACACAGCGGTGACTGACATCACTACGTTGTGTATGTAAACAAAATGGCGCGGTCTCCTAGATCCTAGAGAGCGGCAATTCTTCTTTATGTCTTATGCGTCCGTAATATTGCGGCCGCTATATGATGACAAAGCTATCCTAAGTCCCCATAAAGAAAGATACAACTTCTCTCGTTTTTTGCTTTTTAAAGAGTGTCGACTGCGCGTCTAAAATATGTACATCGTGTTCTACGCAAAAAATTCAAGGATCAGATTTTTTTATTACGCATAAATTAAAACTAAATAATTGAATAACGAATGCTTGTAGTTACAAGCATTGCAATGCAACACACTCGCACAACAAAAAAACAAATCATTATACAATTACTATTATTACAAGTCACTTTATATTGTCATTATAAACTATGATATCTCGTAATATTTAAAATTTGGATATGTGGGCACAACTAATGAAGTTATAGTTAAGTATACGATGATGACGTATACAATATACGATTAAGTATACACTTTTAGGGGATGATCGCTAATAAATGCATTTCTTCCATTATAGATAAAGTGCTCAAAGGATTTTCGCCCTAAAGTGGCCAACAGCAAAATTACATAATTAAAGTACAATGCAAAAAAAATCTGGTCCTTTATACAGCTTTATACAAAAGGTAAAAAAAAAATTTAGCGCATTCCTGCAGTAGAACCAATGATTGTGCTTATACTCAAACAATTTAACGGAATGATTGAACGAATTGAGTTCTAAACACTGCATGGTTCCACAATCGCAACTCCATCGAGTGAATTGTCAGAGTGTCTTGCCAGTACGAATTTTGATAGTATTCAAAAGCTGGGAACATCTCGGTTTCATAATTTATTTGACAGCGGCGCTGTAGATTCCGCTAGAGGCGCTACTGTGCAATGTATGAAACAAATGACAATCATAGTTTTCGAATGCTATCAATACTCGAACAATACATTAACACCTAGTTTTTTTATATTAACGATATCAAACCTACAAGTAGCTTTTAATTTGTATATAATGATACCAACTCTACAAGCAACACTAGATAAGAGGCAACAGTACAGTCTCGTTAAATCTATTATAATGTCACAATACGTATTCAAAAACGTTAATTAAGTCTTATGTTATCTCCTGCCTTATTCACAGCGATCTAAAACGGGTTTGCTGTGCTCTGTCACTGTCACTTGTATGTATTCAGACAAAGACGAAGGATATCATTTGTAACAGTTTTAGATCGTTTGCGATTAAGGTGGCTAGTGTATTTTGAGCGCAACTATATCTACTACTAAAATGATTTATAAAATTTAATCGTATTTCATTAAAATTTCATCAGATCGATTCTTCTATCAGATCAGTAAAGGAATGACTGTGTTAAAGGTACATAGAAATGATGTCGAGACTTTTATCGAAATTAAGGAACTATTAAGATTTTAATGGTTGTTTCAATTTGTTTCATATTTTTATTTATTTAATTATTTTAATATTACCTACGTACTAACGACCTACACACAGGAAGATTCATCATACAATTGACATTAACTATGTATACGCGTGAATAAATAATAGACAAACAGACAGACAAAATTCCCCTCGTATTATAAAATTAATACTAGAATTAATATAAAAGAAATATTTACCAATATTATCCGTGCAACATGATTTTGGCTATTTATATTTATTACCGCTCAGAATGACTGGTAACCAAAGAACATTAGACAAATTCATAGAATGAGGTTACCTACTACAGAATTACGAATTATTGCGAGTTAATAATATTGTGAGAATCCGCTCAGCACAATACTGACAAATAATAATGTTACAAAGTTGAAAATATTAACATCACTACTTTTCACCAAGTTCGTATAGTGATTTTTTTTTAATATAAAATATAATATAAAAAAGTCTCTACCGAGTTGAGAACGCTATGAAATAAGAAATAAAACTCACGAAAAGAAAATGTATAAACAAACCGGCCACGATCAATCGCTTACCTATTTATATTCCTTACGCAGATTTTAGGAAATCGGTAAAACTTTTAACAATTTTAAACGAATCCTCATGAAAAAATGGATTTACCCCTTCTGCACTTATATGTAATGTAATACATGTGAACTTTTCGCGCGTGATCTAATTGTTAACAATACATTAGAATAAAAAGCGTTCATTTTTGTTCACAAAATCCTTTTCGTGAGTTGTTTTTTTTTTAATATATTTATATCTCTAATTCAAAATGATATCAAGATTGTAAGGCCCGCATGATGTTATCCTTATAGTACTATTTTTTATGGCAAAAGGGCGGTAAACAAGCGTATGGCCCGCCTAATGGTATTCGGCCACCTTAAATGTTACTCGCGCCGTTGCCTACCCTGACCCAATCCTCAACCCCGTGGAGCACTTGAACCTTACTCAATGACAAAAACACAAGACCACAAAAATGTAGTGTTGTTTTTACTATGATCTTCTGTAAGATAGAGGTTACTTCCCCAGACAGGCGCTCCAATTCGAGCGGAAACCATATAAAAAAGCGAGTGTGCTTAAGACCACACGACTGAAGTGAAATTTCTTTAGCTCCATCTGTATGTATATATATACATATGTGTACAATATATACATGTATGTACATGTACATAAACATGTAAGTTAGCACTAGATTCATGTATTTTGTGACGGGTATTGTTCATTGTTTACCGATGAGTCACCGGTGACACTTTTCGTAACGCATTCGCCAGTTTACCCCTCAAGTCAAGCGTGCCTAAAGAAGTTTCACTTCCAAAGCGACTTATCTCGAAGATAGATCTGATCGAACGAACAGATTTATTCAAATCGCTGCACTCATGCAGACATCTAACAAGGCAATGGTAATACGAAATACGTAAACGAATAGCGTACTGGTATTGAGTACTATCGACTGTTAAATGCAGAAACACCTACCGAACCGGTTACAGAACATTAACTTTGGCCCACATACGATACGTGCCATTGTCAAGGTAAACTAAGCCTGATATTATTGTAAAATGTACGCTATGTTGTAAATTAAAACTGAATTCTTAATATACTACAAGAAATATATTAGTAACTAGACATCTACAGTAAAATAAATAAGTGGCCTGCCACTTAAAATCAATAATCTCCTCTTGATATCGTCATTTTTCAAAGAGTTTTCCCTTCCTTTATGCTATATTTCCCCAAATATGGTTGACTGTCAAAGTCTATGTGACAGTAAACGTATAGCTTAAAATATTCTTAAGTAAGTATGTTGTAATATTATCGAAAGTTCGTGTTACGTTTATCACAACCGTCTCACAATGAAGTTGGCAAGTCTTAAGAATTTCGTTAAAATCAGTCTCTACTTTTGATATTCCCTAAAGTAAAATTGCAGAGTTATTTTAAACTACTCGTATGTATATTATATTATTATTATACCTAAACCGCCTTATTCTAAAACGTGACCTGAAGTTAGTCTTGGTTTTAAGCTAATATTGTCACTGTCTTCTTTGTAGTGACAGCATCAGTTTGACTCCAGGTTTAATTTTAGTGTACCGTTAGTGGCCGTAATAGTTCTGGCAGCGTTTGTAAACGCCTATTACAGACCACAGTTCTAAATACCTATAAGCCACAAACTACATTAGACTGATATTACATGTTCCAATGTAATCTTTGTTAAGATCGAACATAATATATACATAGTTGCATGAATACATAGTTTCATACAAAACAAAGTGCCATTGTATTGGGTGGGGCTAGTAAGTAGCATTGCCACTACAATGAGGCCTCAAATCAATGGAATCACCCGCATCAACAAATAGGATAATCTCAATGCCGTCACAAGAATACGTTCCTCTCCAGTACAATGGTGTAGAACCATCAGTAATTAGCGTTTATGTGTTCACTCACACCATAATTGGCTATCGATAAAAGCGGCCAAGGAAAATGATCGATTGCAGTTATTGGAAAATGCCGCCATTGCCTTCCAGAGAGCTTGCGTATCGACAGACTGTTACGATAACTCTGACAAATTGTGTAATGTAAATAAGAAGATAAAATTCGTCATCTCGATGTTTTAATAACTATTTCGCGATATAAGTCTCGACTCAATTCGATATACTTAATAAAGTCAATCTCAAATTGAAAGATCCCAAAAATGATCAGGGAGAAATTTAACTTTATAATCTGGTAACATCTTCAAAGGTCACGGCACCACCAAAAATTAATTTTATTTCCATTCCAATCGTGTCTGTAGCCAGCCTAAGTCTTCTTCTAAGTTGTGTCCAGTTATTCACCTGAAATATTCAAATACAAAGGAAGAAGAATATACACTCTAGGGTGTAGTGTCCACACCTTGATCCCCCGCAGTCGGAATATTCGTCTTGCGTGTGGGAATTGTCCGTCTCTATGTCGGATAGGTGGGGATAGAGGCTGGGCTGTTGCGTCACAACCCCGTTGGCTTCAACCTCCTTCTTATTATTGTTCACTTTTATCCTTTTCACGTCTTCTAAAACTGATAGTACTATTGGTGAGTCTGTGGATTGCGAACCTGGAAAGGAAGGAAAATTAAATTAAAGTAGTACACAATTTTTAACGGTGTTTCATCCATTTTTAACCAACATAATTGTATTGGAAATTGTAAGCTAGAGATTCAGTTTATTTTTCATTGCAATATTCAAATTTGTTATAGCACTTTTCAGAAGGAATGTACGTTTGCATCAATACGTAGAATAAATGTGACTCATTCATAAGGAACTTTTGCAAAAAGAAATCTCGGGCTTTTCCCCAAATGACAAACCTGCACAAAACACCTACCTACTTAGCATATTAAGCGAGCAATGATTCAGACAAAAAATATCTTACCGCATCTTACTCCTGTCCGATAAATCAATAGGCTTTTATTGTAACTTAAAGCAAATAGGTTCAGACTTGGAGCGTTCTAATTCTAAATTTATAAATAAAAATAACATCTTAAATGAACTTACTTCTCCTTTTAACAGGTTGTGTCGTAATCTTCTCCTTTTCGATTTCTTTTACTGCAGGCTCTATATCTCGTTTCTCATCGAAAGTGACTTTGGGTGCATTGGAGATAATCTCCGGCTTCTTATTAGAGTTCGCTAAATTTAATGCGCTCCCCATGAGGGGCGCTTTCTCTGAAGGATCATGATCGCTTTGATCGTCGTCCGAATCGTTATTATGGTCTGGTTTTTCATTGTTTGGCTGTAAAGACAAAAACACTCGTTATATATATAGCAATTTATACTACTGTTAACTTACTCATTACTAATGTAAATTTAATTCATTTTTACCACGTCAGTCAGATACAATATTCCTCAATCATTAAGTTTTCAAACTATATATAATAAGCAAGAAAATTCCACTATCTGAGAAATACAAGGCGAGCAAATAGTTACTTGCAAAGTTATTGAGGAAAATTGCTATTACATACTCCCAACAACACTTTGAATTTACTTATGATGATAACATCGACCCTTACAACAATCTCTATTTTGACAGTGCAAAAGGAGGTATTTATACAGAAATTTAGAGACACGCCTTCACAAAGCAATAGGTAAAGCATTTGATTTGGCAATAATAGTGTACCATACGCTGTGTAAAGGTGCGATCCCAAGATGTGTGACGTCACGCGCGAGGACGCGCCGCGCAAGGTTGCCAAACGTATGAGAAATCTATCGTTCGATATTTAGCAGTATCTATACATGAAACGAGGATAAAAGTAATCACGTACATTTTGATATGAGATTTGAACAATGCTGACATGACAAAAATATTATCAGATAGTCAATAAATGTCCAGTCCACAAAGGGTCGTCTCAGTAAGTACAAATTCATTATGCCATCACTAAATGCATCCTTATTCGTATCATTATGACCACCATCGTATCATCATCCAAATCACCTCGAATCATGTAAAGACACTGCTAAATCTCAAACCTTAGAGTTATCATACGTTTGGCAATCCTGCGCGGCTCGTCCTCGCGCGCGACAACACACATCGTGAGATCGAACCTTAACGTAGACACACATTTTGTAAGAAATTATCGCTGCCAATTGGCGTCTTTCGCACGTGTTGCATTTAAAAGCCATGTGCCTAATTGCTAGCGCAAACATACCCACGCATGTGAATGCGCAATTATCTTGAGTAGTTAACTAGGAAATGTTAAAAGGGAAAACTAAAAGTAGCGCGAGACCAGAATAGCACGGGGAGGGTTGGTAAATATAAACATGCATCGTAGACTTGAAAATTCTAACATTCGCTCCAAATTGTCGCTGCCTTTGAGTCTGTTCAAATTCTTTTTGAGTACATTTAAGGCATTTAAACAATTTATTGATGCTCAAGATATAAACATCCAAAAAAATAAACAATTGACTCAGAACTAGTTAACTCATAAACACATTCAATTGCGTAAGTATCTGAATGAGTACACATAGATATTTAGAACTTCTCGATCTGTAATACTGCAAGAAGATAATATTTTTCCGACTTGATATTTTCTTTGGAAGTGGAAGGAAGGAGAGGAAAGGGAAGACCGAGGATAGGCTACACTAAGCAAATTAAGGAAAAGGTTGGCGTCGAGTCGTACAGGGGGCTCAAAGAGTTGGCGGAGGACAGAGGGAGATGGAGGGGGATCCATAGACTGCACCGACAAGAGCATAGCTCTTAAATTTGGAGAGAGAGAGAGATATTTTCTTTATCAATTAAGTAAATTACCTTATAGTGGAATCTGTTCTGTAGCATCTCCATCTCTTTTTCTCTTTCCTGTTTAAATTTGTTCGCTATTGTTGTCTCGCTTATCGTTTGTTCCTTGTTGAACAGTGCCGCTAATTTCCCTCTTATACCGCCACCGATTGAGCTCTGACTGATGTTATCATCGTTCAGATTGTCTTTGGAATTAGTCGTAGAGTTACTCGACGAAGAGTTGTTAGACTTCGTTGGCGTCGTCTTAGCACTGGTGTGGGTTTTAACAGATTTCAAATCTGAAAGTGTCAAAACATAGTTTAAACGTCGTAAAGGTTGTAAGTTCAAGCTATTGTTATGTACCGACTGCGTAGGTTCTGAACTATACGTGTTTGTGGCGGTTAAGTAAAAAAAACATGGTTTGTACCAAACAAGAGAGTGCCGACTTTGTTCGTGCGCCCGCGGTTTTGCTTGTTTTGTCATCGGAACCTGTTTTTGAATCAACATAAAATTTTAAGTGACAAAGGATTGCTCAAATGTTAATAATAGAGGTCGAGCCGAAATAAATAAATGTACCTACATGTATTTTTGAGCGTGTTTCTGCTAAATCGTCTAGTGGTATTGTTACCATGGACCTAGTTTTTAGCGAGTTTCCGATATTATCCGAAATATCGGAAATTTGCTAAAAACAAGGCTTACACGGTAACAGTCCCGTAAATAACTTATATTACTATATAATACTAGCAAACCCGGCGAACTCCGTTTCGCCATCAGATGGCTTCTTTTTATGTAACATTTCGTTTGGTGATTAAAAGAAGATTTTTTTTTTATAATTTTTCCTGAATTTTTTTTGCTATAAACCCCACGGAGACCGAGACCTTTCCAACGAATGCAAAACCGTGGAAATCGGTTCGTGCTTTCTGAAGTTATAGCGTCAGGAAGGAAAACCCGACTTATTTTTATATAGTAGACTAGCAAACCAGGCGAACTCCGTTTCGCCATCAGATGGCTTCGTTTTATATAACATTTCGTTTGGTGATTAAAAGAAGATTTTTTTTTTGAATTTTTTCCTGAATTTTCTTTGCTATAAACCTCACGGAGCCCGAGACCTTTCCAACGAATGCAAAACTGTGGAAATCGGTTCGTGCGTTCTGGAGTTATAGCGTCAGGAAGGAAAACCCGACTTATTTTTATATAGTAGATTAGTGACCATGAAAGTTTAAAACAATATATAGTAATATATTGTGCAACTAACAGAAAAATATGGTAAGAGAGTTTTCAGTTCCTTTGAATAACCTGAAATAGTGCTGACTATTATCTTGGCGTTAACTTTGTTTCGTAGAAATATTTCACAATCGTCCGGTTTATTGCACAATTGCCGTGTATTTGGTATCACTTTGTTCTAATTACAGTTAACAAACAGGTCACCTCCTGGCAGATGTCAATAAACCTAGATTCCGATATTTGCTCCGCGTATTAGCACTACTTTCGTGCGTTGGTTCGCCCTAGTTGGACAGTAGAGTTTTCATAACTACTTGTATTTTATATTTCCGCGAAAACCAATGGGACTTACATGTTGTGACTTGTGACCTCAGAGAAAAAAATTCATGCCAAAAATCCAATAAACGCATAGAACGACTTCATAGAAGTGTTTTTTATAAATAGTTTATGAGTGGATATTGAAGGAGCTCTGGTAGAGCAATAGTGATCGGGATCGGACCAAATGAGTAACCACAAATTGACACTATATCGAGCAGAGCACTAAGGCCCGTATTATAGAAAGATTCTCAGTAATATATCTAATCTTGAGCCAGAAAAGGATAATGCTATATATAGCACATAACGACATCCCTTTCTAACTGTACTCAAGTAAAGATCAACACTTAGGCTCGTATTACAGAATCAGAAATAAGGCCCGAATTATAGAAAGATTTTCAGTGATTGATCTAGTCTTGAGGATAGTTAGAAAGGGATGTCGCTATATATAGCACATAGCGATATCCCTTTCTAACTGTACTCAAGTAAAGATCAACACTTAGTTGTCATTCTATAATACGGGCCTTAGTTGTCATTCTGTAATACCAGCCTTAGTTGTTATTCTGTAATACGAGCCTTAGACGTGCAGCTTTTGGTCCCGGCTGCATCAGCAGTTGTTAGCATCTAACAATCTTCACTGAACCCGCGGCAGGTCATGACATGACATTGGAATGCCTGTGCTTCAGCAGTGGAGAAATTAATAGGCATTAATTAATTATTATTATATAAAATTAATAGAAATTATTAGATGACATCTGCCCAATGAATCGGTATAAGAGTTTGTGAAACGCAGCCTAGTGTTAACTTTAGCCAAAAGATTCGTATTACTGGTTGTTTTTTATTGTTAAGTTAAATGCATTTGCATTGAATAAATGTTTAATATTGTATAACATTATATTTCAATTTAGTTGCATGATTTTACTCGAATGCTAATTTACTTATTTTAGGTTATGACGAATTATGTGGGCGATCAAGTTTGTCAACGCAACAAATACAATTGCAACGAGATGTCAGCATATATAATATAATAGTAGGTAGTTACGTCATTCCTAATATTTATTCACATTTTACTTCATTAACAGATTGTGATATAAGACAAATTTGGGGTTTCTTAATGTATAAAGCTATTGTGATTAATATTCAATTTCACATTAAAGATAATTTAAATATAACGTAACTTTAGCAGTACAATGAAACAAACACCAGATAAGCATGAGTGTTACAAAAGAATACACATTATGTCGTTGACTATATTCACCAAAATTAATACGAAAATGAATTGAAAATGTTTTAATTGATCAAGGGGTCATAAATTCTACAAAGCAAAGACCAACTTCATACGTATAAAAATATTGAATGGTAGAGCATAGCAGATATCTCGCTCAAATTGAAGCGCCCGACTGGGAAAGTAACCTGTACCTTACAGAAGATCACAATAAAATAACACTACCCTTTGGTGGTGCTGTGATTCTGTCGGTGAATAAGGTTCCAGGGCTCCATGGAGTAGAGGTTTGGGTCAGGGTAGGCAACGGTGAGAGTGTAATATTGGTATCGCAAGTGTATACAGGCTTTGGTGGTCGCTTACCATCAGGTGGGTCATACGCTTGTTTGCTACCCTTTTAACATAAAAAATCTTGTGAAAGCAGCAAGAGATGGTGTTATCAGATCTTGTATTTTTTTATAAAAGAGCCTAATAATTGCTCCTGATGTTAATTGTGAGGGGTGTTTTTAAGCTGTAGAGAATAAGCTCGTATTATCAACCTTTTTAGAAGGTTTCCTACTAAGCTTAGGGGGATGTTATTTAAGTGAGGTGGAATTTAAAGGTCTTAAATTTTCAAGGGCTCCATTAGAGCCTATCTTCTCTAATGTTAACCACGAGTAACTGATTTCATATTAGAACATTACATTGTGAAAAATCCCAAATGGATTTTTTATTAATTACATACGAACTTAGATTATTAAGTCGTTACTATTTTGCGGCTATCTAAGGTCATTCTGTAATTAAAGAGATCCACTTGACACTACTATTGCCGTCACATTTTGACATAGATATTTTCTTTAAAACAATGCCTTATTATCACAGTAGTGCTCGAGACAATGCGACAATCTTACGGGAACGGAAGTTGTGCAATTTTTACACGTTAATTCATGTATCTATTTACCTACCTAAAATAAATACCAATGCGAGAAAAAAAGATTTCACAGTCAATACACAACATTAATACAAACTTACATCAAAAGCAAAGTATGTAAGTTAAATTTTTCGACGAACTACACTATCTTATGAGACGAATTTTCTTCACAGGAAAACTGTCAAAGGTCCGTGTTGTGTTACAAAATCGCACTATGATCACTGGCCACAATATCACCAAAACCAGAAAGATTCGATCTCGGAACTTTTTTCTAATAATGTGTGGAGCGGCAACGTGTTGCCTACGCGCAGGTCTAGATCGCAATACGCGCAGATGGTTGGCCGGACCTCCACCGCCACCTAATAACCTGCCGATCGCTTCCGAATCTCCCGCCTGCGCAGCCATCGACAACCTTTTGTCAACAGCTAGTTACGTTACGCGCCAATAGTTTACAGCACAATGATCATTATTTTTCTGGCCATTATGCCCGCTATGAAAAGATTGAATGGCGATGTGTTATTACGTAAAATCCTTTTATGAAAATTTTATAAAAAAAAATAACATGCTTTTGTCATCCTTCTCAACTAAAAAAATCCAACAATTTGACATTGAACAAATGTTAAAGACATGTTTTTGTGCACCTCCGACCTTTTCCAGTTTTTAAGTACGTCAACCGATTGGGTGGTGCAGCAATGTATTATTTAATTTGTGCTCAACGCACATATAATTTATTCCAAGTCAATTGTTGTTTAAATACTAATTTAGAGCATAGTGAAGTTTTTTAGTTTCCACATGACCAAACTCCGCTTATTTAATAAACTACTTCTATAATGTTATCGTACAAAAAAGCCCTGACTATGTCGAACGAAAAACGAACACTGAGAAAAATATTTAAATATCTTTTTGTGAAGTCACGACTGAATTTCAATTGATCTCTTAACTTTATCATCAATGTGTATTGCGGAGCAAAAAAGCAACAAGTACACGCATTTAAAAGGGCGTTAAAGAAAAACTTACATTACTGTGCGTACAAGGTTGACGACTTCTGACCGGCTAGCCTTGATTATTTACCTAACCAGTGATGTCACTGCCCAATTTCGGTAGCCTGGGATATCCATGTTATTACAGATGATAATAATAATAACAATATTTAAATACGGTACCCACGTTTATATAAAATGTCACGAGGTAAAATGCCAAATGTGGCGCCATCGAGGTGTGCAAGTGATTTTTATATGTACCTTTTATTCTCAAAAAGCTACACCTATTGCTTTGCCAAGTTGGCAGCGCGAACACTACAAGGAATATTGGGTGTGAAGGTTGTATGTATTTAGTTATTAAATTACATTTTTTTCTCGATCCATCATGTATTGATAAAAAAATATTTCAAATTATATGCAAGTTATGAAATGAAAATAAACTACATTGAAGTTAAAAAGCTCTTTTGAATAGTCCTTTATTTTTTCCTTACAACCTGTCTGGACATCTTTCTTTTAGCTGACAAGAGCAGGCGCAAGAAACTTATGCGCGTTTAACGAAGTAGCGTCATTTACATAAAAATATGTCGTTGCCAGTAATGAGTACAACCCTTATGAATTAAGTTTTTATATTAGCAACTAGCTGAGCTAGCG